GGGGTGGCACGGGCTCAGGAGGGGCGTTCTTCTTCCGCTTCCGCTTCTCCTCCACCTCCTCGATGATGCTGACCACATCGTCCGCGGGCAGGTGGAGTTTGGTAGACAGCTCGATGAGGCTGTCAATGGTCTGCGGGTCCATCTCTTCGTCGTCATCCTCCTCCCCGCCCTCCTCTGTGCCCTCGGCCTCCTTCCGTCGGTGGCCTGGCGTCTCCTCCTGGGAGCGCTTGTCTTCGGCTCCGGCTTCCCCGTCCTCCTCCTCCTCCGCAAACAGCAGCGCGTTCTGCCGCGCCCTCTCTGCCTCCTCCGCCTCCGCCTCCGCCTCCGCCGCGTCCTCATCCTCGTCCTCGTCCCCCAACCTCTCCTCCCCGCCGCGTCTCTCCTGCTCCGCCTCCTCCTCCCGCTCGCTCCCTCGCTCCTCCTGCGTCTCCTGTAGCCCACGACCCCCCAGACTGCGCTGCCGGGCTCCGCCCTGCAGCAAATACTGGAGCAGCAGGTCGGAGGCGAGGTCGGCCAACCGCTCCTCCTGCGCGGCCGCCTGCCGCGTGGCCTCCGCCTGCCGCCGCCCGGCCTCCACCTGCGCTAGCCCTTGCTGGAGTAAGCGCTCGCCCGCCTCAGAGCCGCCCAGCAGTGCGCTCTCCGGCCGGTGCGCCTTGGGGAAGGGGGCACTCAGGCCTGGGTACGCCTTGGATAAGGGTGCCAGAGCCTCCCCCAGGTGTGTTTTCGGGGAGGACACTCCTTCCCCAAACTGGCGGGTTTCGGGAAGGGGCCCGCTCTCAGACACACGCGCTTGGAATTGCGAGGGGGCCGAGGGCGGTAGAGGTGCGCGCTCCGGGACGCGCGCCTGGAACTCTCCCCAGGAGGCGCGCCACACGCGCTCCGGCCCGGGGCTCTCCAGATTGACGCGGGTCAGTGTGTGCGTGCGAGTTTCGGTCTCTGCTGCTGCCGTCTCTTGCTGGCGCTTGGCGCTGCTCGGACTGAAATCTCGAAGTTCCTGGAGCAGGGACGCTAGCGCCTCGAGCTCCTCGTTAGGGTCTCCCGCCTCGGGACTGTTCTCCTGAGTCTGAGGGTGAGGCGGGGCGGCGGGCGCCTGGGTCTCTGGTGCCAGGAGGCTGTGGGTCTGGCTGCGCACGGTCTCGGTCATCAGAGCTTCTCCTGCGTCTTCCGCTGGCCCCTGCGGAGAGCCGACCGGAGCCGGGGGCGAGGCCGGGCGGTCCAGTGCCTGCAGCAGTACCGCGGCCAGCGCCCGGGGATCCACGCCCTGGAAAAGCTCGCCCTCGTCCTGCAGCTCGGAATTTCGAGCAGCTCGGACTTCTGGGGCGCTGTCATCCTTTGGCCCGGGCGCTGCGTCCCCAGCTACCTCTGGCTCTTTATGCTCAGAGCTGAGAGGAGGAGGCTGTGCCTCAGGGCGCCCTGGGGGCACTGCTCCTAACCCCTTGATCAGTAGAAGGCAGAAGAGAGCGTAAGCCGGCAACCTGCGGGATTTCATGGCCAAGGGGCTGCCGCAGACTGAAAAACAGAAGAAACCAAAGAAAGGGAATTTCTGTAAGAATTCCCTGCTCTCTAATTCCATATTCCCTTCCCCCCATCTTTAAGCAGGAAACCCGGGGTTTCCCTCATCCCCCTAACCTTACCCAGAAGAGGATGTTTAGGAGCGAGTGAGAAAGACGTGCCGATCTCTGGAGTCGTGTAAATGGAAAAAGAACCCCCGCAACCCTCGCTCACCTGATACCTCCTTACCCCCTTCCCCGAGCCATCTCACTGCCAGCGCCCACGTACTAAGATGCAAGGGAAGGATAAGTAAAAAAAAATCTTTGCTCCCTCCCCACAGGACTCCCCGGATGGTGCGTGGGCGACTTCATCAGCAAGAGAAAAGCTGCGACTCCCCCATTTACCAGGGACCCTTACCAGGGACTCCCCGCTGTTTTCAACACCCCCATCTGGGAGGAGAGAGAATCCTCCCTCAAGCCCAAGGCTGCCAAGGGTTTGAGGGACGGACAGCGGGAGTATTTACCAGCAGGTGTCACGACGCCGGAGGTGGAGAGGAGGGTCGGAGCAGGATAGGGACAAGGGAAGATCGGGACCCGTCTGCCTTGGATCCGAGCAGTAGCTGGGGCACGAGCGGTGGTCGAGACCTGGCGTCCAGTGGTCTGGGCTCAGCTGGGTTGGCACAGCTCCAGGCGCCTCGCTAGCTCCGGCTCCAGCACGCTGGACAGCGCCCGCGACTCCGCCGCCTTATAAAGGGGAGCGCGCAGGGTCACGTGGGATTGCCCCGCCCCATTGACGTCAGTGTTCATTCATGGGGAAGCGGGCGGGCGCCCGGTGGAGGGAGGATGCCCAACGATTGGAGGTTGCGCGCCCTTCCTGGCTTGCGCCTGCGCACTGGAGCCCTGGGCTGGAGGGGCGTGCGCTAGCGGAGCTCCGGGAAATGAATGAATGAATGAATGAATGAATGAAATGCTGAGGCGGGCGGGGGCAGGGGGCTATGAATGAATGAAGGAGGGACAAGGAGAAAAGGATGAATGAATGAATGGGAGAATGAATGAAAGGGCTGCGGAGGCGCTAGAAGGCGGGAGGGTGGGTTACAAAGCAACTTGCAGCTGCGGAGCTCGCGTTGCTGAGCGGAATAGACAGGGGGCACCCCCAACGTCTGAATGGACCCAGTTGAAGATCGATGCTGGGAAGGGGACGACAAGGACTTGCAATCTGGGGAGGGGGCCAGGCTTCTTAACCCGGGACTGAACGGCCCCGTGGGGACACGCCCAAGGACGGCGTGAACCCGAGAAGGAGGGCGCTGTCCGAGGATCTGCGGTGCGGGGTGCCGGCCCAGGGCCCTGGCAGATGGGTGGATCTTGCGGTTTTGGCAGTCACATTGGAAAGGGTCCCAGTCGGAAGAGAAAGGGGAAAAATAGAGGATGTATGTGCCTCTGGGTCGTGTCTGTTCACGACCGGTTCGTGTCTGGAGAAAAAGGTGTGTCTGTCTTTCCGGCTGACTCCGCTGTGCATGTGGGGGGACCCCCGCTGTGCCCCCTTTCAATCCACCTCTTCCCACCCTCCTCCAGCATCTTTCTCTCCAACGCTCCCCCTACCCAAGGACGTTTGGAGGGCGAGATCGGACCAGGTGGGGAGGGGGTTGTGCAGGTGGGAGGAGTGATTCAACTCCAGCTCTCTCCCCAGCTTCAAGGGTTTGAACGCGATGTGGAGGGGGCTGCAACGTCAGAGATAGACGGTCACTGCCACCAGACCCTTCGACCGTATCTCCTGCAAGAGGGGTTGGGGTTGGGGGCTTGGATAGCTAGCGGTTCCGGGAGTGGGGGGCGATGACGCACAGATTGCGCAGAGAAAATCCATCAGCGAGTCGGTCCGGTGAAGGGAGACCAGGCGTGGGCGGGGGTTGGGGGGACGGAAATGGGGAGGGGGGTAGGAGAGAAGGGAGGGTGGCCAGGGGAGCGGCCACTGCAGGAATGAAGGGGAGGGAGGGAGGATGGAGGGGGCTGCGGTGCAGGCAGAGAGCAGTGCGGGGGCGTGGGCAGGGAAAGGGGAGGAGTGACAATGACACACGCCAGACACAAGAACTGCGGACACAGGGGTGCTCATGGACACACACAGGGCACCCGCACACTGAAACTCTGGAAGCCAGGACTGTGCTGTCTGCAGGAACTCAAGAGCCTCTTCCAGAGCCGGACCTATCCCCCTCCTCACCTCTTCCTGTTTCTGACCCTCATTCCAACCCCCTCTCTCCCGCACACACACTCACGTGCTTTCCCTCTACAGCCAGCAGTGGCTTCTCGCTTCCATCAGTGGCTTGACTTTCCCAGAAGAAAGCCCATCAGCTCTGCAGGGAAAGAGGTGGAGAGGAAAGGAGAGAGAAAAGGGAGAAGGAATGGGGGTAGGAGAAGGAAGGAAGGAAAGAAGGAACCTGGAGCAGGTGAAAGGAGAAGGCTAAGGTGAGAATCAAGGAGACAGCAATGATTCCAAAGAAAGGAGGAAGGAGCGGGGCCAAGAGACTCCCAAGGAAATGCCTCACCCCCCTCCGTGGTGTGAACACACACACACACACACACACACACACACACACCTGTCCGGGGACTCCCCCTCATCCCTCCTCAGCTCAGATATAGGGAGCAGTGGGATGGGGAAGGGGGTCATCCTGAGGAGGATGAATGGGGAGAAAGCTCAAACATCTGCAGAAGAGGAAAAGAAGCCATCGCAGGGGAATGGAAAAGGAAGGGAGGGAGCCATGGGGCCAGATGATGGGGACAAGGGTCCAAATGCGATGTATAAGGGTTACAGGCACCTAGACAAACTGTGCATGCCTGTGGGTTTGTTTGTATATGCACTGGCTGCTATGTCTGCATGTACATGTATGTACATGTGTTTGCCTGTGTACAGAGATTTCAGAGACCAAAAGGCTTGGGGGAACCAATTATGGACTTAATCAAATTGAAAGTGGATGGGCTTGATGGTGTTTCCATTTTAAATAGATCTCCTCTTCCAATCTGTGACTGTCTGCCTGCTACAAGGAGTCTGTGTGGGTTCTGATCTCTGCTGAGTGCTTGTATACCTATGCAGTTTTGTGTCTTTTGAATGCACCCACTTCTGGGCATCTGCTGGCATTCGAAAAGCATGTGCCTGGCTTAGTGATGCACAATAACTTTTATGCGTACACATCCGAGTCTTTGTGCATTTCTGAGTCCTGTGCCTACTGGTATATGTTAGCGGTTATGTGCACTGCTGTATGCCCTGATCTCTCTTGCGCCTCCCCTATCTGCCTTCACTTCCAGCCCTGTGCGGTACAGCTTCACAATCCAAGCTACTCACCTGTGGACTCCAAGTTCTGGGTCCTTACCTCTGGTTTCCAGAACATTCCCCATTTTCCCCCACCCCATCCCCCAATCTCCCAAAGGAGATGCTCAGACATCCACATGCCAAGAACTGCAGTCATCCTAGGGTGGTAGGGGGTGGGGAAGGGAAGGTGGAAGCCTGGGCACCAGAGGCTATGGACCTGATGGCTCTATAATCTCAGTCTTGGCCCCCTTTTCTGTATGGTCTCTACTCTGAGTCTGTTTTGGCCTCTCTCCCTCCCAGTGTCCTACCTGGGTCAGCTTTTTCACAAGTACTTCCATCTCCCAAGGGGTGAGCTCTGCCCGTCATACCTTGCTGCTTCTAGGAGCTTCTAGAAAAGATCTGGTCTGGGGACAGGTTCCTGAGATTGGGCAGAGAAGGCAAGTGGCAGGAAAGATAGAGACAGCTGGAAAGGGAAGAGCCCAAACAAGGACCTAGTAGGGATGCCTGGTGTTTGCCTGTATCTTTTAATATGAACTCATATTTCTTTGTCTTTGTTCCTGAGTCTCCCATACATTCCAGGAGGGTGGTGGGAGAAGATGGGGTCCAGCAGAGTTGTGATTCAAGCTGAAGGTTTGGAAAACCAAGGGAGAATGGGACAGAGCATTGAGTCTTTTCCCTAAGGAGGTCTGGAAGGGAAAAAAAAAGAGCTTGGACCCCCCACACACACACACAGCTCACCATCCCCTTCTTCACTACCCCCTCCCCCAACCAGTGACTCACCTCTGCAGCCTTTCATTGCGTCAGCCTTGGTGGGGACAGGCAAGAAGGGAGTGATTTATGAGAGGGGTAGGGGTCTACTTGGAACTGAAAGCAAATACTGAAGACCCCCTGAAAATAGCTCCATTAAGAACACATTATTGCTCTACTCCCTAGCCACCCAGGGATAGCATGTCCTGGGAAAGGGACTGGGGGGCATTGGAGGGTCCTGAATGATGAATGATGAGGAAGGGGATGCTCATCCCAATTTTAGTCCTCAGGTCCCATTCCCTCAGACCCCCCAAGTTCTGAGTGGGGGAAGGGAGACCCAGCAAGCTGGGGGGGGGGACAAAGCCGCAGAGATGAATCACCAAGAAAAGGCAATAGAGAGCCAGAGATGGGGAGAGACACAGAGAGACAGCTACTGGAGACTGAGAAAGGACACACACACGTACACACACACACACACACACACACACACACACCAGGAAGGTGGTATTCACAGACTAAGAAGGGGAAAGAATTGTGCACTTCCATAATCCTGATCCAGCCCTTCCAGAACCCACCTGTCACACACACACACTCACACACACAATGCACTACCATACAGAGTTACACTAAGATTCTGAGACACACCCACTTCACAAACACAATGTCACACCAAGCCTAGCACAGTCACCCAGACTTCTGCAGAGGATTGCTAGGGCAGTTGGGATCTGACTGAGAGTCCTCCTTACTCTTAAGGAGTGATGGGAGAGGGATCAAAACCCTCTAAGACTGCGACTTCAAAAATCCAAGACGCGGTTTCAGGGACTCTCAATCTGCACCACACACACTCGACAATGCACACAGGTCTCCTGCCTCCCGGCCAAATGTACATAGTTACACATCAAGCATCATTCTCATCAAAAAGCCATTTGGGGTACCTGTTTCTGGGGCACACCAGGCTTGTTGTCCAGGATGGATCCCATCCAGACACCCCCAGACTCATACACACATGTACAGAAACGCACACACACAAAGACGCCCATGGACACACTCACACGGACGGAACCACCTTTCGCTGCCTCTCCTGCGTCCGCACTCGTCCTGGCGCCCCCGTGCGTTACTTTTCGGGATCGCAGTCTCCGCCGCTTCTGAGCTCCGCTCTCGCGGGGGCGGCGCCCGGGCTCCTTTCACCTCCTCCCCCTCGGCCCACTTTGCCCACCCGGAAATGGGGAAAGCGAACGCTACTCGAAAGCGAGTTAGCCGCTGGGGTCTTGGGGAGGATGGAGGCTGGTCCTGGATGCTAGGGTGAACTTGGGAGACGAACCCACAGAATTTGGGAAGGAGTTGGCTCCCAGGTCCGCGGGGGAAAGCGAGGCCCGGGGATGGTGGGCGCCGCACTGCTGCGCGCCTCGCTTCTGAGCCGCTGCTTCTTTCCTCTGTTCCGTGGAGGTGGGGGCGCCCGACGGCCAGCAGCCCTCCCCACCCCCCTCCAGGAAGTCATTAGCCCCATTGCCACGGGGCTTGGAGATCCTCTTTAATACAGGCTGCTGGGGAAGCGGGAAGAGAATGTATCTTATCCCTTCCCACTCAGAAGTGAACCGCACAGTGCGCAGGCAAAAGATCCCTTTTATTGTGATAGGGCCGTGGTGGAAATGACCGGGAAGGTGGCCCCAAATACGGAGCTGGGGAAAGTGATGAAGGGGGGAAACCGTCCCCTTTGCCCACCATTCTCCCACCTTCCTGGTGCCCTCCTCTGCCCACACTTGGATTCTATGCCCAGAGAATCCTGTTGCTAGGGTCAACATTTCCCTAGCAACTGTCCATTGTCTAACAAGAAGTTCAAGCATCACAGGGAGGGACGTTCTGGGCATGCTCTGGGCTTGGCATGCCCGGGTTCTAGCCCTTGCTAGCCTCCTAGCGCCCGAGTGACTTAGAAGAAGTCACTTGGAACATTTTGAGTGTGTTTCCTTCCTCTGACGTTAGTTTGGGATCCAGCTGGGAGATAGCACTGTTCAAACACAGCGGTTACTATTTGCATTTAAATAGCAGACTCTCAAAGTCCAAAAAGCACACAAAATCCAGAGTTAGGAGCTGTATCCAGAAATACCAGGAGTTCCAGTGCCCTAGAGGCATCCCGGTCGGAACCAGGAGTCTCCTGACGGCTGAGGGCCTGACCTCGCCAGCACCAAAGCTAGCCAGAACCCCAGGTGAATGGGGTGGGAGGGAAGGGGCCTTGAGAAAGTAGCAATGTCGTGCAAAGTTCCGGGAAAGTACCGCGGAGGTAAACAGAGGCCCATCTGGGAGAACATTTTCAGAACATTTCACTTACAGGGTCTCTCTGTGCGTACTGCACAGTGCGCCTGCGTGGGAGACTGAGTAGCGGGGGAATAGAGGGGCAGGAAAAGGAGCTAAGAGTCTGGGGAGTCCAGGGAGGAGGGGGATGGGGCCAGAATCAGGGAGAGGACACCGACCTAGATACACAAAAAGCTGAGGGTGGTGGTGAGAGGAATGCTGGTCAGCAGTGAAAATTTAGAAAGGGCCAGGCGAAGGGCAGTAACAGATTGGGGCGGCGGGGACGCTTCTGTCCCCTTTCACCACGAGGGGGCAGAAAGGAGCAGCCAGAGAGGGGGGTGCTTAGGCCCAGGCCAGGTCAGTGCCCAGAGAAGAGCTCTAAAGGGACCAGTTCTTGGAAGGGGAGAGGCTGGATAACAAATAGCAGTGCAAGGGGCTTCCTTAAATCTAGCGGTTCACAGCCAGGCATGGGTAGTGTGAGTTTGTAATCCTAGCACCCTGGAAGGCTGAGGCAGGAGGAGAGCAATTTAGAGCTCAGTCTAGACAACTTAGCAAGGTAAAAAAGAGAAAATAAAAAGGGCTGGGGCTGTAACTCTGTAGGAAAGCCTTGGGTTCAATATCCAGTGTCCCCACCCAGAAAAAAAAAGCAGCAGTTCAGGTCTGGATTTAGGCAAGGATATTTGGGGGTGCTAGACACAAGATAGTAGGCAGAGGTAAGGAGAAAAGGGAAGGTGGTACTGGGCATCTGGTAGGGGTAGGAGTTAGGACTTTGTGGGGTGGGAAGTGGCAGGTGTGGGCTGGCTGGAGATGTGTGGAAGGGCAGGCACGAATCTAAAGAGCGTCTTCCCTTTGCTGTTCAGTAGAACCCTGGACCAGTTCAAGCCCCAGGCCGGCCTGGCAGAAATAAGCCAGCTGCGGCTGGGGAGCCAGGAAGAGCTGGCAGTGATGTTGAGGCCGGTGAAGCACAGAGCCTGGTGCTGCTGGTGCCAAGATGAGGCGGTGCCGTTGTTGTGGCTGCAGTGCGAGCACCACGCACAGTGTGGGCACGTGGGGACGTGCGAGGCTGTCCAGGCCTGTGGCTGCCATTAGGTGCAGGTCAGTGTCCCTGGCCAGAGGATGGCCAGTCCTGAAAGATGGTCCAAGTGGAAGGCACATAGCACTGCACGGAGGGCGACGGGAGAGGCAGCCATGACACTGTGGGGGGAGGGGGACGAGCGAGCGTGGCCAGCCTGGTGCCGCAGCATCGTCACTCCACTTCCCTCCTGGGCCCCTCTGGAGGACCGACTGTGGGAGAGCCTGGGTCCCCCAGGGTAGCAGGGATGGGCTGGGGCAAGGGCTCCCCACACCTTCGTCCCCAAGGAGATAGGCACATGGGTCTCTGAGTCTCCCAGGAGATGAGAGCGAAGAGGGCAGACCAGTAGGCCAGGTGGGACGGGGGAGAGGGAGGACAAAGGCTGAGATGAGAACGTGTGGGTCCTTGAAGAGCAGCCAGAGGGATGCAGGTGAGGCAGGGTCACAGAAGCATCCGGAAGTTAGGACTAAGGGTTTGAAGCTGTGGGTCAGGAATTGGCGTTCCCTGAGCAAAAGGGTCTTGCTAAGGTCGAGGATCACAGGCCACTTCCCTCGGTAAAACTCAGAGAAAAAGAAAGTGGGTTATTAGAGTTGTGGTGCATGCCGGATATCCCAACACTCTGGGAGGCTGAAGCAGGGGGATCTCAAGTTTGAGCCCAGCCTGAGCAATTCAGTAACAAAACTCTGTCTTAAAAACAGGGGGTGGGGGTGTGGCTTCAGTACCAGAAAAAATAAAAATTCACTGGGTGGGAGAATGGACTCCTTTGTGCCCCTCCAGTGGCCAGGCCATCCTTTGTCCTTACCTGCTTGGTGATTAAGTGGTGTTTCTTCAGCTCCTGGGGGTCCAGATGGCCGTCTCGGGTAAGCTGTGCCACCTTGACCCCCCAGGTGCTGTCGCCTGACCAGCTGAGAGTAGATGCCCCACAACAGCCTGGCCATACCCTGGTCGCGGTGGCTCTCAGTGTCAATGGCCTCTACCGGCTCCAGCGCCGTTTGCAGACCGCCGCCGCTAGAGGGCACCCTCCCCGCCTCTGCTGCTGCCGGGGCACCCGGGTCTCGGATTGCAAAGCCAGTTTCCACCAGATCATCTTCCACCTCCAGAGATACGCAGGCTCCTCAACACCTGGTCCCCGCCCTCTCTCCTTGGCTCCACCCCCAGGATTGTGTCACGCCCCCTTGCCTCTCAGCTCCTCCCCCAGCCCAGTTCTGCTTCCAGGCCAATCTTCTGCTCTTCTGTCTGCTAGGGCTACTGGCCCCGTTCTGACTGCTCCCACTCCTCTTTCCTGGTCCCCGCTTTCATTCTCCTGTGCTCAGAAACTCTCAAATGGATCCTCAAACCCCAAAGCTGTCACCCGCCCCAGCTGTTACTCTGCTGTTAGTAGGATTGGGAGGATGACGGGGTGGGGGACAACTAGAGATTGAACCCAGGGCAGAGTCTAAGTTGCTAAATTACCCAGGCTCGGTTTGAAATTGCAAGCCTGCCTCAGCTTCCCAGAGTGGGAGTTTCAGGCATCCATCACCATGCCAAGCTTACTCTTTGGGGTTCTTCGCGACCCCATCCCACTCCATGGACCTAGCTCCTGGATCCACGCCCTACGCTTCGGTACCATGGCAGTCTCAGCAGTCCGATGAGGCATGGGGAGAGGTTCGTTCCCCTTCCTAACATCCAAGAGTCCAAGTTTGGCTTCACCCCTTTTCACTTGCGCCTTGCTCCTCCGTTCTCATTACTCCTCCATCGCGCTTGGCCAGCACCGCCGTGTGGTTGGGATCCTGCAGCTCAAGAGCCATGGAGGCCACTGTACCTGTGTCGGGATGGACAGACTCCCATTCCACAGTTACCACCAAGTCCGACAGCTCAGCCTCCACTTCAGGTTGCCATCTGGCCTTGACCTCGGGTCCTGGCTCAGCTCCCTTGCCTCATCCCGATGCCCAAATTCACACCTGGACTTGGTTCCTGTCTTCTGTGGCTGGTTTTCTGAACTGGGCCCACATCTGGAGCAGCCTTAGGGTCCGCTGAGGTGGCTGCTGCACCATTGGCTTCTGGCTTCATTACCCTGTGGAAAAGACAATCTAGATCTATTTTCATGTCTGGGTCCCCACATATCAATCCCAACAACCCCTTCCTACGCAAACACCCTTTCTTTTCTGCTCTCCATACCAACCCTGATAATGTAGGTCTCCCAGCCCCTTCCCTCCTCCTGCCAATTCCCAGAAATCACAACTCTAGCTGCTCCAGCCCTGCCACAGTGTCCTCAACATTCAAAAACTCAGGAACCTCTAGTGTGAGCCAGGCATGTGCTGCATACCTGCAGTCCCAGCACTCTGGAAGGCTGAGGCAGGAGGATTCAAGTTCAATTCCAGTCTGGGCAACTTAATCACTCAGTGGAATCCTGTCTCAAAATAAATAAATTTTAAAAAGCCTAAGGATATCATTCAGCACAAAAACAAAAACTTAGTGAGCACCCCAGAGTCTAACCCCAAATTGCTCCATGCCAGCCAGTTCCCAGGGAGTTGAACAAAGGAGAAGACCCCATTGGAGTGGTAAGAAATGGAGGCACATTCCTTCCGGGGACCCACTCCTGTCCTAGACCTCTGTGAGGACAAAGTAGGACAGTACCATCACCAAGGCGCCTAGGAGAGTGTCCCCTGGGGGGGAGAAAGAGGACCCAACCCCCTCAATGCCCCTTTGCTACAGTAATGTCCCAAGGGCAAAAGGAGGGTGGGCTTGCAAACTGCAACAAAAGGACTGTGCAGCAGACAGCTCTGCTGGCCCCCTAGGACAGTCAACTCCCACCCCTTCCTTTGTCTTGCCTGGCTTTATCCCCTTCCCGTAGGATGACTTGGGCTCCATTCCAGGGCAAGATGGTGATTTTTTTCCTCAGCACTGGCAATCGAACCTAAGTCCTTTGCACTGAGCTACATTCCCAGCCCCTCATTTTATTTTTTGAAAGAGTCTCACTAAACTGTTAAGTTGCCTGGGCAGGGCTCAGACTTGGGGTCACCCTGTGTCAGCCTCCCAGAGTGCTTCAATTACAGGTTTGCACCACCCAGTTTAGGTGGTAATTTTGGAAAGGGCACTGCTAGTCCAGCAAACAAATCCACCATGGATTTGATCCACCATGATTGCAGGTTCCCCTCTCCCCATTTATTTCTCCTCCAAAGATGAAGTCCCTCTCTTTCTCCCTCTCTCCTATTTTTAAACCTGTTCCTGTCACCACTGTACCATCTCCCACTCAGAAGTTTCTTTGTTCTTCCCATTCCTCAAAGGGTCTGACACCTCCTTGGCTGCCAGCTCTTCTATTTTCCCTGCCTAGAGACAGAGCCAAAGAGAAAGTCCCTGCCTAAGTCTTGGTGACTCCTAATTCCAGTCTTGCTCCTTCAGACTAAATCAACCAATCAAATCCCTCTTCATCTCTCTCCCTCAGCCAATCATAATGCTTCCTTCACACAATCTCCATTCAAGCTTCATTAACCAACGTTCCAGGGGACACAGACCAGCCACACTGTAGGAAATGATACTGACTTGGCTGAATCTTTTTTCTAACAAAATAAATGACCCTGGTTTTGGGAAGACGACCTTCTGTGGCACCAGGGGGTGTTGAGAGCACAGTTATAAGCTTCTATGCCATAAACACAACTTAAGTAAAAACTTGATGCTTGCTACACGCACAAACTTCAAACTAAGAGTTCCATCTCCCACTTTCCTAACTCTTTCTAATCCAATTCCAGTGCCTAAAGTGCTCCCAGATAAACAGGGAGGTTAAAGAACAGATGCCAACATAATTCGAGTGAAGGAGAAGAAGGTGCAGAAGATTTTAGAGCCTCTCTTGGGGCCACTGAAGACCATGAGGTTTACTCCTTTCTTTTTGCAGTACGGAAATTAAACCTCAAAGATGTTAGAAGTCTGGCCAAGGGGACTTGCTTGGGCAGAACCAGACAAAAACTTAAGTGTCCCTGGCTCCTAAGCCAGTAGCAGGGACATTTTTGGTGCACCTGGGTCTTCAAACCCAGCTTTGATGGAAAATAGGAACCACATGGGTCCCTGGCAGGTGCTGGGTGAGCTAAATTAATCCAGACACAGAGTTGGGATTGCAGGGGGAGCCTCTCCCCTCCTCACCCTGCCTGCACTGCTGGCAATCCCAGTGCCAACACACAGACCAGCCCCAGCACCTGAGTCCTCATGCCAGCCCCTGGGGACAATGGGTCCCCCAGAGGAACAGATGAGCTGAGCCAGCTTTGGCTTGTCCTGGATCCCTGCCCTTGTTCACGCATCCTGAGAAAATACAAACTGGTAGTTCAGTCTGAGTCCAGTAAGACCCTGCTGTCCCTATTCCTGGAACCCATGGAAGTAATTTAAAGCTGTAGGTGCCAGCTCCCTTCCTAATTTACCTTCAGGATGAGAAGACCATCTCTAAAGGGCATTCTGGACAAGGGATGTTTATAAGGTTGTTTGGGGTCTGAAGATTGGCAGTGGAGCTGTGGAGATCCCAGGTCCCAGGGAAGGAGGAATTTTCCAATTCACCCCTCCTCTTTCCTTTCCAGGCACTTCTACTCTTGCTCCCTTTGGCGGGTGTGTGTGTGTGTGTGTGTGTGTGTGTGTGTGTGTGTGTGTGTG